TGGTTGAGTGTCAACCTATGAACCAAGAGGTCACGGTTCGATTCCCGGTCAGGGCACATGCCCAGGTTGCAGGCTTGATCCCCAGCAGGGGCCGTGCAGGAGGCAGCCAATCAATGATTCTCTCTCATCATTGATGTTTCTATCTCTCTCTCACTCACCCTTCCTCTCTGAAATCAATAAAAATATATTTTAAAAAAATACTAAAGGCCCATCTGGGCATGACACGGAATAATTAAAGAGAACAGCACGAATCCTCCAGGAGTTCAAACTGACCCCGATGCTGCTCAGGTGGACGCGTAAGGTGGGCACTGACAGCAGGAGAAAGCTTGTGGCGTTTACGTCCCACGTGAGTGAGAGGAACAGGAATTCAGTCGGGTGGTGAGAACTTATGCCCAAAGAGTACGTGGAATCTTTCATAATTCTGGCTCAAGACCATGGCAAAAACTCATTGTGGGGAAAAAATCATTCATGAACACGTCTGTATTTAGCAGCTGCTAGGTGCCCGGTAAAAAGTAACAGGAAATTCTTGCTGAAACAATGGTAGACTGAATTCATGGGCATAAATGCACGTGACTGTCTAAAGTTACGTGGTGTACGTGGTGAAATTTTCAAACCGAAGCATCGACACGACGAGTAGCATGGGTGTTAACTTGTGCACCTGAAATAATCACATATAACTAGCCCGACTCCTGCATTCAGACAGGAAGTTCAAAATATTGTGCTTTTTAAATATGTATATTTTTATTGATTGCAGAGAGGAAGGGAGAGGGAGTTAGCTAGGAACATCAATGATGAGAGAATCATTGATCGGCTGCTTCTTGCAGGCCCCATACCAGGGACTGAGCCCGCAATCCCGGCATATCCCCTGACTGGGAATCGAACCACGACCTCCCAGCTCAGAGGTGGACGCTCAACCACTGAGCCATGCCGACCAGGCAAAATATTGGGGTTTTACAAAATCTGTTTCTTCATTTATAAATGAAGGAAATGAAAAACATTTCTTGATGCCCTGTATGTCAAGCACTATCTCAGACAACTCACCTATCTCATTCAAGCCTTCAAGAGGTATTATTATCCACATTTCACAGGGGAGGGTGCTGAGAGTTTAAACAGCCCGCTAGTCCTTACTCAGCTCCAAGCGTAGCTACTGGAATCAAATCCCGGTGAGCCTGGCTATATCCAATTTTTCCTACTAACCGTTCCTCGCTCCCTCCCACCTCACCTAAGGCCTTTCCAGGCTCCAAAATTCCAGATTCTATCTGTTTCCAAGATGCCTGCAGCTTTGAGTTTTGCTGACGGGCCATGGAGATGGTGTACAAACAGTTTTCATTTGTAAGTGGCCTTATGGGGTTGGAATCACTGCCCCAGTTCATTTCCGCGGCACTGGATGGGCACCAGCCTCAACCGCCCCTCCTCCTGACTAGCTGGCAAGAGTAAGCAGGCCCATCTGCCGGGATTGGCATCAGAACTCCCCTCCAAGGCGGGAAGCTGCGAGGTCCAGGAAGCGAGCTCACTCAGGTGGAAAACCAGAGAGCAGCAAGCCTGTTCCGCGTGGGACAGCATCGCTCCGTGTCCCCTGGGGCAGGTCCTGGGCCTCGGGGATGATTTCACCTCCGAAACGTCTCCAGTGAAGTGGAGGAGGCACGCAGTCCCCCGAGCACAGCGAGAATGGGAGCCCGTGGTTCGTCTTCTTCACACACGTGGGTTACTATCCTGGCACTGCCTGTACGTGCTACGCACAGAACGAGGGCGGCGCTGTCATCAGCCTGTCTTTTGCGAATCCCCTCTCCGATGGTGACAGAAAGGTCAGATGTCACGTGCGTGCCACGGGATAACCCACGCTTCTTCTCACGAGGGCAGACAGGTCGGCCCAGAACAAGACCTGCTCTCTGCGCGTGGCTGTCCCAGCACCGCGTGCTTCAAACACCTTCTGCACAAGGAAGGCAGGGGACCGGGCCTCCCGTTTGTAGCCTGAGCTAGTTTCACGGGACATCAGCAGCATCTGTCCCCGGGCTTTAGGAAAGAGTAAAACTAAGCCACCTCCAGAGAATCCAGGAAGAGGATTTGGTGGGATCGTGTTGGGATTCTATTTCCTACTGGCCAGGAGTCCAGCAGGAGGGGGTGAAAGAGAGTCTAAATCCAGCCCTTTCATCCACGTTTCCCAGCTAACAGATAAAGGCAGGCCCTGACCTTCTGAGGGATGAATGGAAAGGCATTCACGGGGCAGGAGGATCTGCCACGGCCTACGCTGGAGGGCCTGTCCCTTACGCTGTGTGGTACACAAGTCGTTACTGACATCACCGTCCTCCCCGGGGAGCACATGGGCACAGTAAACACCACACCAGAGACATGTGCTGCCAGCCTTTTGGGAAAGACAGGAGGACTGATTTCCTGGGTGTGGTGACTTGAGGAAGAAGGGGGAGGAGAAGCTGATGAGACCCGTGCAAGCAGAGCAGAACGCCGTGTGTCGTCCCCCCCCCCCCCCCCCCCCGCCTCCGTGTCAGAATGCAGACACCATGGCTTCCCTCTGTCTCTGAGAGAAGCGCTCACCCAGGAAGGCAGGTGCCCGCTCAGCGAGGCACCTTCTGCGGAGGGGGCCGAGCTGCCCGGGGAGCCCGTGGCTGAGAAGATTTGTCTAGAAGGAATCCGTGCAGAGCTGCATAAACAGAGTCCCCGAGGGATGTGAATTGTGCCAGAGACAGAGAGACTAAGAGTAGTCGTCAGCCGAGGGAACAGCCAAGAGCGAGGGAGGGGACTCGGGGCAGCCCTGTCCCTTAACCCTCAAGGTTTCTGTTTCCAGTGTGACATTTGCTCCTCCCTCCCCCCACCCGCTCCTGTGCTGCCTTCATTTTGGAATGATTGTCCTTCTTTCTTCACGAGGTTGGCAGGTAGCAACCCATACCCCAGAAAGGAAGATTCCCAGAGTCAGAGACCCCCTAGCACCACCCACCAAAGACGGAAGGAAATGCACATCAAAGAGACACTCTCTGACATCCACTGAGGTCTGTGACCTTAGTCTGAAGTGTCAGGAGCTTCCTGTACCATCAGGCTGCGAAAGCAGACGGCGGGGAGGGGGAGGGGCGGAGAGAGGAGGAAGGCTGCTTCAGAGCGGAGCTTAGAGGTGGAGATGGAGACAGGAGGTCGAGTGGCAAACCCCAGGATCTCCCCCTCATTTGCTTCTGAACTTCTTCATTAGGAGGCAGGCTGTAAGCAGCATCAGAAAACTCCTGCATCGATAAGTTAGTTAGCATAGGCCTTGGAAATGTGCCATTTAGAGTAAGATCTCTCTAAAAAGAGAATCTTGTAAAAAACAAGACTGAGAGCAAGCTTGTGACAGATAAACCTTCAGCTCAAACGGGTGCTATATGCCGGGTGCTACGTACCATTTCCAGAAAATCGCCCCCCCCAACTCCAGCCGACCACTGACCTGCTTCCGGTCCCCATGGATTTACTTATTCTGGGTATTTCCTCTAAACGGGAGCATACGGTATGAGGCTTCCCCACCTAGCAGGTTTTTAAAAGGCGTCACGTTGTGACCTGTGCGGAATTCTTTCTTTCTAGCATGTCACCGTCCGTGTAGGTACATTTATGGACACTCATCCATGGACACTTGGGTTGTTCCCATCTGGCCCCTGCGAACAGAGAGCCGTGAACATGGGTGCCCATGGATTTGAGTCCTCCCATCCATTCTTCATACAAAAATCTGCTCCAATCACATGATGCACCAGCCGCAATCACTTCGAACTCCTGAATGTGACCCTCGACCCTTCCACTCCGGCCCCTCCCCACTCGTCAGCATCATCTCACACCTGCACGCCGGCCCAACTGGCCTTTTGTTTCTTGCCTGTGCTGTGCTTTTCGTCTTCCCCTCTGAGCCTCCGCAGAGGCGGTTCCCTCTTCCTGGAACACCCTTCCCCTGGGTGAGAGGCAGCTTATCTCCCAAATCCAATTCGCTGCACTAGCTCCCAGCACAGAGCCAACGCGGGCCCCTCTTATTTTACGGACAGAGAGGCACTCAGAGCTCGCTGGGGGATGAGGAGGGCACGCTGGCCCTGGCTGGGAAATCCGGCAGAACCTGCCCAGAGACAATGTGGGGGGGCCTCTCGGAATGACATCCTGTGTCTCTGAACCACGCCCTGCTGGGGAGCTTGAGTATGTGGATTCAGGGCCCTGGTGTCTGCCCAAGCGATGTGACAAGCCGCAGGACCAGTCGGTCGCCTTCCCAGCTGCTCGGCACACATGCTCCACCCTGCACTGCGGGCCGGCTATGAGGCAATCTTTGCTTTTCCCGTCACAACTGGTCAACACCCACAGGCCTGTGCGAAGTGAGGTGGTTCCACAGACTCCAGGGGAGCGCGGCCAGCCCAGAGGCAGAGGCTGGCGGCCGCTGAGACAGCAGGAAGTGAGCTCAGGTGCGAGTCAGTCACACCTGAACCCACAGGCTTCAGCTCCGCCCGGGCCTCAGGGCTCAGGGCCACACAGGATGTGGACTTCTCAGGGCGGGAAGTCCCCTTCCATCCACCCTTCCTTTTCTCAGCTTCAGTTCTGTACCTCTGCTCCCTGAGTGTGTGCACACTCATATGCACACATGTACTGCAAGAGCACACATGTCATGCACACTCCCAGGTGTACGTACACGTGACACTCCCACACATGCACATGCAAAAGCACACGTGTATATACATGTAGACACATGGCTCTAACACACTCATCTCCTCTTCTCTGACTTCTAAAAATAGTCTAATACAACCCTCCCTTCCACATAATTCCTAACAGCCCCTTGATCATTCTTTCCTTCCCTTCAAATTCTCCATCGTTTCCATGTCCACATGACCATGTAGTAGAAACTGCCTGTGAAGACGGTCAACATGTTGATCTCTAAGATCATCTACAACCTTCTCTCTGCCACACGTGAGAAAAAATGGGAAAACAGACTCCCACGCGTGTCCGAGGGCCTCGGAGGGAAACGGCGCTTTGAGGGCAGCCCGCCCGTCACTCACCTCCAAGACTTTGCCTGTGATGAACTGGTGGCAGGCTTCACACTTCACCCCGAAGAGCCCCTGGTAGTCCTTTTCGCAGTACGGAGCGCCATCCCTGCAAGACGACAGAGTGCTCAGCGCCCGAGAGGAGGCCCCGGCGGGGAAGCCACCGGAACCACGCTGCTCTGGGGCCTGGGACAGATGGTGGGAGACTGTTTCTCTCCCGCCCAGTGTTCACGTGCCTGGAGATCAGACACGAGCAGAACCCACGAGACCAAGCGATCCAGAGACAGAGCTGTGGTCCTGGGCCACACAGAAACCGCGGCCACGTCACCGAGTGCTCCCCAGTGCCCGTCCCTCGAGGGTCTGAGGCTCACTCACCGAGCCCTGGCATCGTTCTTGACCACCGCCAGCCAGACGGGCTTCAGGTGTGGTCTCAGCGCTCCCCTCTCTGGAGGCCCTGACCTGCCTCCCCACCCCACTCCTCGTGCTCACACACAGAGCCTCGGCCTCCAGGAGGCCCGCGGGGCCCAGGCCTTCTCGTCCAGCCCCCATAACCGCCGTGGCTTCCTCGGTGCGCAATGAGGATGGCACTGCACGGCCTGTGGCCGAGTTCAAAGGCACCGCTCTGGACGGCCCCGTGGCCCACGGCCCTCAGCCCTTGGTGTGCATTTAAGAGCCGAGCATCTTCCTCTTCTCACTTCAGCTCTGCATCAGAGGCACCTCTGGGGGGCTCCCACAGGTCAGCCCAGACCTACAGGGTTAGGTTTTTGGAAGGCGGGGCCCAAACTACTTTTTGTTTGTTTTGCTATATTCTTAATTGATTTGGTATTTTTGAATAGCTGATATACTTGCCCGGTTGGAAGACATTTTTTTAAGCATAGAAAAGGTATATAGGGGAAATTTTCCCCTCATTGCCACGGTCTCCCCCAACCCCAAACCCGTGCCCAGTCTTTCTTTCTTAACTCAGAAGGTAACCACTGTAACTGAACTAGTTTCTCCAGCTGCATAAATATAAAACAAACAGAAACCCTACTTCACCTGCTGTAGCTGTTATCCACACCAGCCTATCACGAACCCGTTCTGAGGAGCTATTGTGGGCATTGGTCCTAATGGGCTCAGTGTCTAGACCCTGTGTGGGTTTTGGGGGGAAGGCTGGGGCATCTACAAATACATTCAACACCTGGAATGAGGACAAAGGTTTGTTAGTGCCAAATTGGGGGGGTGGGGGGGGGGCTAATGAAGGTAAAATTACTGAATGCTTCATTGGTTACAACATATTAAATCGGCTTCATTCATTGTTAAATCAGGCAATGCCTAACATCTCTTTACATTTATAGGAGGCAAACTATGGCAAATGCAAAGGAATAAAATTCCTCGCAGCAGCTTTGCAGCCAAACGTTCCTGTGGATCGTGGGGTGTGCATGTCTGTCATTATGTGCTGCGGGTCGGGGTGGGGGCCCCCGGAGCAGGAGCGAGAGGGCCCCCCAGGCCCAGCCTCACTTACTTGCTGATGTACTCCCCGGTGAGGACCTTCGCGCAGGACTTGCATTTAAAGCACCCCAAGTGCCACTGCTTTTCCAGCGCCAGCAGCGCCTGCCCGTTCTTGATGTCCCTTCCGCAGCCGGCACAGTCTGGAAGGAAGAGCAGCCAGATGTTACTCCCTGCAGCCAGGTGCTACTCCCTGCGGCCAGGGGTTACTCCCTGCGGCCAGGGGTTACTCCCTGCAGCCAGGTGTGCTAAATGCCCGCACTCGGCCAGCTCTGAACCCGGTGTCCCCATCACACACTCAATAGATATTTGCTTAAGCAACGATTCCCTCTGCGCTCGCCCTGCACAGTCTGTCTCTCGGGCCCCATCCTCACGCAGCGTGGATGCTCCATGAACCACGGAGGACCCAGGGGATGGATGTCCTCTATCCTGTATTTCCTCGGAGGTTAGTTAAGTCCCCTCTGAGCTCCTGCTGGCCCAGAGACGACTCAATTACAGGGTCCAGGCTGTGACTTGGGGAAAGCTCTCGTGGGCCTGCAGTCACTGAGGATGCGTGGGAGCCGCAAAGCCCCCCAGGCTGGATGCCCCGCTTAGCATCATCACGTGGTTCCCAGAATGCCATGCCGCTCAGAAGTCTCACTTCTGTAAACAGGACTCTTCTGCCCTGTCAACCTAAACCGGACCCTCCACGCTTTGTCATCATCAATTAAACGGCTCTTAACTCCTCAGCTTTCAATTCTCCCGGGCAGGCTCCGTGACACTGGTCGCAGAGAGAGTTCCTTCATGGTGAAAAGCGTGGGCCCGGAATGAGCCGGTTCTGCGCCAGCTCTGTGCCTTGTTGGCTAGTTCCCGTGATCCGGGCTGGTTCTCCCTTTTCCTTTTTTTTTTTTTTTTAAATATATTTTTATTGGTTTCAGAGAGGAAGGGAGGGAGAGAGAGAGAGAAAAATCAATGATGAGAGAGAATCATTGATCAGCTGCCTCCTGCACGCCGCCCACTGGGGATCGAGCCTGCACCTGGGCATCTGCCCTGACGGGGAATCAAACCATGACCTCCTGGTTCATAGGCTGACACTTAACCACGGAGCCACACCATCCGGGCTTTGCGGCTTTCTAAGCCTCGGTTTGCTCGGGCGGAAGCCGGGATGCTGTTAGCGCTTTGCTCCAGCCTTTGAGGAGGATGTGTCCCGTGATGGACTCAGCACAGGGTTGGCAGGCAGGAAGCGGCTCTCTAAGCATTTGCTATTAGTGTCATTTCCACGATTATCCTGGTTATTAAATCATTTTCAGAGAAGTTGCATCTTTAAAAGAACCCAGAAGGATGTAAATTGGTGCGTCCTTTTTAGAAGCAACTTAAACATCTCCAGACATTTAACACCAATGTACCCAAGGAAGTGACAGCGCTGTGGGCAGGCCGGCCGAGATGTCCCCACGAGAGCAGGGACAGCACCGCGGAATAAAGCCATGTCCAGGCAAGGCCACGGGTACACAGACGGCTAAACACCCCTCACCTGACACATCGCGACGGCTGCTCATTTACTAAGGACACTCCTAACCACTCCACTTCCCTCCTCCCAGAAAAAGAAGACGCCCAGTCACTGCCCTGCTCCTGCTTCTTGACAACACCCCCCCAGAGCTGCTCCCGCTCCCCGGATCCTCCTTAAGGTTACCCAGCACAAGCCCAAATCCTAGAAAAGGCTCCAAACCCGCCCCCGGGTGTTGTCTCCCTGGCTGTAGTTTAAGTAAACCTGCTTTCCTTCCTTCCTTCCTTCCTTCCTTCCTTCCTTCCTTCCTTCCTTCCTTCCTTCCTTCCTTCCTTCCTTCCTGTCCTCCCTTCCTTTTTTTTTGACTACAGATGTGTAGAATTTCTAATGATCGCTGGTCAGTAGGTAATAATGTGCCTTTAAACCCAGCAATTTCATGTCGAAGATTTCATTCTACAAATAAAAAGTGCATGTGTGTGTTCCCTGAAGAATACATAGGCATTCCCCGAAGCATTTTTGTAACAACAAAACTGAAAATAGCCTACATGGACATTAATGAGGGACCAGGAAATTAATTATAATATAGCCAATAATGGAATACTGTGTGCTGTTAAAAAGAATGAGGTAGATTTGTTGTGGGCATGGAAAGATATCCAAAATTGAATAAGTAAATGAATCAAGCTGAAGAACAGTATGCATAGCATGAGCTCATTAATAGAAAAATAGTAAAAAAAAAAAAAGTATGTGTATATTTGCACACATGCTTGTATATGAACAGAACAATTCTTTAAAAACACATAAGAAATCATAAAAGTCCTCAGTGATGGAGGACTTTACTTTTTATGCCACAACCTGTATGTTGTTTAATTTTTTTGCCATGAGAATGTAAAAAAAAAAAGAGTAAATATTTATAAAGTTAAAAACATATCTGCTATATGTTTAAATATTTCAGATTAGAATCTCTTTACATATAGCTTATTGTAAGCTGCGTGTGTATCATATGGTCACAAAGCATTACATTTTTTTAAAAAATATATTTCTTTATTGATTTCAGAGAGAAAAGGAGAAGGAGAGAGAGATAGAAACATCAATGATGAGAGAGAATCATTGATCGGCTGCCTCCTGCACAACCCCCACTGGGGATCGAGCCTGCAACCCAGGCATGTGCGCTTGGCCGGAACCGAACCTGGGACCCTTCAGTCCACAGGCTGACGCTTTATCCACTGAGCCAAGCCGGCTAGGGCTACATATTTTTTTTAAAAACTGGGATTTATTATTATCCCAGCATCTCACCAAAAAATCGTATAAAGGAGATCTCACAGCTAGTAATTTATTATAAAGATAAAACAGAAGACTATAATATGTATTCATAAATACCATTTTTAAAGGTTAGGAACACAGTATGTACCTAAGATGAATTGGTAGTTTTTAATGCAAGCTGAACTCCAATGTTCCATTATTCTAATTAGATCATTCCCACTAGGTGGCAGTAAAGATTTAAAATAATAAGGAAGACTCTGGTTGATTACATTTTTTTAAGTAGAAAATAAACTTTAGAGATGGCTTTTCAATTCTACATCTGAAGACAGTTGGGCTGAGAGTTTGCACAGCTGTTCGAGGTCTCCCTCTGCACAGAGCTGAGGTCTAGGGAGATGGAGGATGCGGATGGTGAGGACATGGGCTCTGGAGTTAGGAAGATTTGGACACTAACCTGAGTAAACTACTCTCTCTGAACTCTCACTGCTTCACCTGGGAAATGCTGACCTACTTCCTCAACTGCTAAGAGGGGAGAGACCCTGCATGGTAAAGTGCTTTGCATAACACTCAGAACTCTTGGCACAGGTTGGGCATTCAAGGTGGTTCCCCTTTTCATCATAGGGGCAGAACTGGGGCTAAAAGCCAGGTTTCTCTACTCTAAGTCTTGCTGTCCTTACAAGCACACTAACGCCCAGATGCCCCAGAGCTCTGAGCCCATCTGAGAGCAACAACAACCTCTCTGATCATTCCGCACCGAGGGCTGTCGGTGAACCAGGCACCATGTATACTTCACAGTCACTTAGTCCCAGTGCCTGGCAGTCTGGAAGCTTCCGGCTCACAGGTGGTGTGCTGTGCTTCTCAGATCCGCCCGCCCGGCCGTGTCCCACGGAGGGCAGACGTCCTGCGGCTGATTTTCATAATGGTTTACAGAGAAGCAGTCACCGAACACTGAATGCCTAGAGCCAGGCAGCTGGGAAGGCTGGGCTGGAAGAAGAGGCTGCGATGAGCCTCTGCACCCCAAACCGTAAGACATAAATCAAGCAAGTCAGCCAAGACCACCTCCTAAGAAGGAGAATACTGGCCACCCCGCTGATGCAAAGGATTGTGGTCTATTCCTCAGCCTCTGCCCGTGCGTTCCTCTCTGGACAAAACCAACCATCTTCTCCGCTTAAGCCTGATGCCATGGGGGGGAAATGGGAGGAGATGCAGGGACAAGGAGATTCGTGCTGGATTGTTCACCCCTCCACGCTCGTTCCAACGAGGCTCCTTTATAAGAACAACACGTCCTGCTCTCGATCCGCATGCTTTTCAGCTGTTGAGAAAATTGTTTCCACATCCCCGAAGCAGCTGCTGATAAATATAGAAAGCGGGCGATTGGCGCGGGACTTCGGCCCAAGTCAGGAATAGGTGAGTACGGGGCACCGTCAAGGAAACCAAACCCTCTCTAGCCCCTCGCCAGTATCCTATCAAGGACGAATCACCACCAGATGTGAGGAAAGAAAAACCCAACCATAGCCTTGAACACGTCGTCACTGCCAGCCTTTCATTCTCAACACCAGGAGCCAAGAGCAAAGCAGGGACTCAGCTGCTCACGGCCAAGTTAAACTGGCAGCCAAGGCCGCACCTGGGTCCACGTTCCTGTCATTTTGTTCATAGGGATCCTGCCAGTCTCCAGGCTCCTTTAACTATCTTTTGTTTGTTTGTTTTGTTTTGTTTGTAAATAGGCCATGGACACCTGGGCTGCAAAAGCATTTAAATTGAAGGACATGACAAATGGCCTCAGGAAGGAAGCTGTCATCAGCTGGGCGGCACTTAAGCCGGAATACTCTGTTCTGTCCGCCCTCCTAGACCTTGCTCTTGGGGCAGAGTGAGGGCCAGAGGAATGTCTTATTCGTTGAAGCTGCCCTGTGTGGAGAAGGAGGACAGGGAGCTCTAGAAAAGGGGACGGTGTGGCTACCAAATTCCCATTCATCCCCCCTGCCCAGGCCCTCGTGCTCCGTCACCCCTAGTTCCGAAATGAAGGTGGAAACCGCCGTTCAGAGGAAAAGTCTCCTCCCAAATCTGGATCAAAGCTACCAGAATACAGAAGGGGACTTTTCCTAGTGTCTGGGAATTTGGGGCTACGGACTTAGAGCGGGAGGTGGTGATACACAGTCCATCTGCCAAGGAAGGGTGCTAGGCATGTCCCTGCCAGAAGGACCAGGATAGCAGAATCCACCTGAGGCTCTCAACCCCTATACCTCTGCAGCCAGACATTCAAAAAGGAATAGAGGAGAGTCCGCAGGGAGCCGTCCACACCTCAGGAGTGAGGTGGGGTCCCCTCCCCGCTGCTGTGAAGGGATCAGAGGACCCTGAGAGAAGAGATGGGCCTCCCGCCTCCTACCAAGATGTCTACTAAGGGGG